AAGAACTTTATATTCTCTTTCCGTGATGTAGAAGAAACTAAATGTGGGATCTCCACTTTGAGAATCTTGGAAGGTGAAATTAAGAGTGGGGTCTCCACTCCGAGAATCAAAAAGATATGGATAACTCTAACTTTTATAGGATTGGTTACCCAATTAGAAGATGACTTTCTCATTTATCAAGATGAAATCCCAACTTTGGTGTAGACCATGGGAAGGTTTAACCAAGTGGGGGTTTCAGATGACCCTAACTTTTATAGCTTTGATCGTTCAACTTGGGGAGGCCTTTCGTTTATCGAAAGGGAATTCCGGTTTTGAAAGTGGATCTCCTGTTCATTGAAGGAATCGAGAGGGGATTTTGATTTTGGTCCTAACTATGGGAAGGTTTGACCAAAAAAGTAGGAGTGAAGATAGAGATAACAATGGGAATGTTGACTTGCACAAATCACCCAGTGGGGGTTTTCGATGTCAAGTAATAATGACTTAACACGAAGATGTGGGTGTCACGTTAGACCTCAACAGTGGGAGTGTCAAAGGCTTGGACACAGTGGGAGTTTAGGTGGATTTAACCACGAAGAATTTGGTGGGCCCACCATCATTTGGTTTGATCGATGAGGGATTTTATGGTGGAGGATCATAAGTCATCAAGCACTCTATAACTTAACTGTGGGGGTTTCGTGAGGAAAGATTGATTGAATGGGGTCATCAAATCTCATCTCGACGAAAGAAGGCTCCAAAATACAGCATGAGGTTCTTAATCACCATTTTATTGTGATTAAGAATGACTTATCCAAACAATTAGTTTTGATCTTGGATAATCAGCTGATCTTGGGTTATCCTTAGGGACACCGTGAATAGAGTTCTCCAGAAACTTCTCGTTAAATAGGTTATCCCAAACATACTACGTATAATACTTTTTTAGGAACTTCTCATTTTATTGGCATCATAAGCTTGTCACCGTTTTGAGTGACCAGGCGATATGCGTCGTTTGAGTAAATCATCTCTACCATGAATGGTCCTTCCTATTTGGGTTGAAATTTTTACTTTTTCTTGGAATTGAGGATCATCGATCATCGAACGGCAAGGACCAAATCTCCTTCTTTAAAACTCTGTTGTCGGACTTTCTTATCAAAATCCTTGGAGATTCGGGCTTGGTATAACTGAATCTGTTGCTGAATTTCTAGACGTTTTTCATCTAACACCTCGAGTTTCTTCAAGACGTTTTTGATGTTGTTCATCAGTCGCCATCTCCATTGCAAGAGCAATACACAGGGATGGAATTTGAATCTCTAACGAGAGGACAGCTTCACACTCATACACCAGAGAATACGGGGTTGCACCAGTAGGCGTGCAGGCTATGGTGCGATAAGCCCAGAGAGCTTCGTCAAGTTTGCCATCCCAGTCTCGCTTGTTAATTCTCACAAGCTTTGACAAAATCTTTATGATTATTTTGTTAAAGGCCTCAGTCAATCCGTTTGCAGTAGGATTATATGTCGTTGATAAAACGTCTTCAATCCTGAACTTTTCGCAAAATCTAATGAATGCATTACTGACAAACTGGGGGCTGTTGTCATACATGATTCACCTCGGCACACCATATCAATAAATAATATGATGTTTGATGAATGTGATGACATTGCTCGTCTTTACTTCTCTGAGCGGAATAGCTTCAGCCCACTTGGAGAAATAATCAGTAATCGCCAAGATAAAATGGACGCATTTAACCGATGGTGGGAAAATAAGGCCAACGATGTCCATTCTCCATGTCTCAAATAACCATGAAGTGGCCGAAAGGTGTAAATGCTCCGGGGGTTGGTGTATCTAGTTTGCATGTATCTAGCATGCATGACATAGTCGGGCATAATCAACTGCGTTCTTGAACATGGTTGGCTAATAATATCACATTCTTCTGAGACGATCACAGAGCTTAGGACCGGGTTGATGTGCATCATAGGTTCCGTCGTACACTTCTTTGAGAGACTCTTCCGCTTCTTTGGTTGAAAGGCATCAGAGTAGTAAAACGTCATATGCGCGATGATACAGTGTCTTCGCCATGTTATAATAAAATCTCGGTGCTCTTCGTCGGATCAAGTCTCTTTCTTTTATATCTTGCGGTAAAATATCATGCATGACATAGTCGATAATGGGGAATCGATAATCACGAAGCTTGTTGAGGGAGGGGTTTCGGAGACGGAAGGAGGAGGAGGAGGAGGAAGGGTCTTGGAGGGGGAGAGGGATATAGGAATTTGACAATCTGGATGAGAGAGATGGAGCTTTTTTAACGAAAGCGACTCCGCTACTATTGCTTTGGTTTTTTGTAAAAAAAACCCAAAAACCCCTCAATGCGTGGTCACGAGAACTTGTATTAAAGCTGCTGTTGCTTTGGTCTTTTGCAAAAAAACCCAAAAACCCCTCAATGCGTACCTGAAACGCAATATATATATATATATGAGGTTGCTGTAGAAGAGCTGCCCAGCTCACGGCCCCGTGAGCTGACAGCTCTATGACATGTGAGCCCCCTACTAGATGTGACTAGTAGGGGGCTCACATGTCATAGAGCTGTCAGCTCACGGGGCTGTGAGCTGGCCAGCTCTTCTCCATTTTTCTGATATATATATATATTAAGTTTTTGTGTTTGGTAGTGAGGTGACATATTATGTTTGGTACCAAACATAAGTTTTTGTGCTTAGTAGTGAGATGACATATTCTCCTCCACTCATTGAAATCGGGGCTCACATTCACATGGGTTGGGGAGTGGTTGGGAAGTGGAATGAGCGGATGGGAATAGGACACATCACTACCAAGCATAAAATTTATGCTTGGGAATAGGACCCTCCGCTGTTGTCTGGGGTCTTTTTGAGACCAGAGTGTCTAGAACATCAGCAATTGAAGCGCCAGCTTCAGACCACTCCGCTGTTGTCTGGGGTCTTTTTGAGACGACGTATTGTGACGCATCGTCGTCTTCGCTGCATTCGACGGGGAGGACTGCTTTGGGAATTGTCTCGCCGGCCATTTTTACAGATTAATCTCTGGAGTTGAATGATTTAGGGCTAGGGTTTTGAAATGGGGGAAATGCTCTTGAGTCGGTTCGTTTGGACAAAAGGCAGATGAAATGGCACGAACAACGAGGAAGAGTTTAGATAAATGAGAGGCGGTTAAATCTGAGGGCATTTTGGGAAGATCACGTTGGTTTTAAACAGTGTTTCACGTGGGCGGGGGGTTTTGGGGGCTAGAGGAAAATGGCGACTATTTTTGGGGGCGAATGGCCTGTTGAAAAAGTCCTTGGGGAGCGGAACACTCTGACTCGTTTTGGGGGCTAGAAGCAATTTTCCCAAAACATTTTCACTATTAGGTATTTGGTCCAAACTATATTTAAGCACATAAACTCTTTCTCAACCTGTTCACAGAGCCGGTTCTGAGGGTGTGCGAGGTGATCGACGGCACAGGGCCCCCTAAAATTGGGGGCCCCTAAAAAAATTTATCCAATCGCCTCTCCTCCTCCTCGTTCTGAGTCTAGCATCGATTGCTTGTTTACAGATCTAGGGTTTCTACCCTCAGATCCGCTCCATTCACGATCTCCAATCCAGTTTCTATTTATTTTTTCACCTTTCTTCCTTCGGAGAATTCAATGGAGAGGAAAAAGTATCCGATTAGGGCTGAGGATTACGAGCTTTACGAGTTGATTGGAGACGGAGGGAGCGCGATCGTGCATCGCGCTCGATGCGTTCCCTTTGATGAGATCGTGGCCATCAAGATTCTTGATTTCGAGAGTATCAGCGATCTGGTACGTTCAGTTGCACATAAAAAATTGATCTTTTTTGTTTATAAACCCAAAGTTTTACCCTGGTTTAGTCTTAAAACCATCCACTTGCGAAATTATTCATTGCACTTTGGCAACTTTTGTTCTTAAAAGTGCTTTTTTCTTCGGTGTAGTAAAAAACTGAATGGATTTTTTGACTGCTGTGAGCTTATTATTGAACCTAAATTTGAATTATCTTTATGGTTTGTGGAAATTAATTTTCAGTTTGGTTAGTTATTTTTGATGAAATTGGACTTCTGACCTTGTTAAGCTTGATTTGTCAGCCATTATTTCTTGATTTTGGAGAAGTGATTTCGTGTCATTAGGCATTAGTGTCATACAAGGAATTGCATCTCCAGATATTGAAATTTGTATACTTTTAATTGCTTGATGGGAAAATGATCATAAAATATGGTCTGAATACGTCATAGTGGTAAAATTATATTGTTAAAGACTATCCAGATGCAAAAAATCAAGTAACATGTTAATGTCTGGTCGGTAACATTTTGTTCCCTAGCATTTTAGGGATTCAAATTGGAATTTATTGATTTTTTTGTATATAGAGAATGATCTTGTGTTTACTTTTCGCACAGGGCCCCTAAAATCTCAGAACCGGCCCTGCCTGTTCAATGTATAGTTGTGGCTTTTTAATATATAAATATCTCAAGAATCTCCCATTTCATTTATGAGTATAGTTCTTCATCCACGGACCCCACGGACCCTAATAAGTTGCATTGGTCTAAACGAACAAAAAGGTGGCATGGCTACGTAACATCCGGAATGGTTATTTTTTGCAAACTGACAAAACTTTGGAAAGGTTCTTTGCAAACCACCCCCAAACCCCCACGAAAAAAAAAATAGAGTGATTTCTTGATATTTACCGTAAACATCGTAAAACAATGCTATCTTGCTAAACGTAACATTTGATCAAGTCCTTCATCATTGCGATGTACGAAACGGTAGAGTCCGTGATACGATTCATGGGCCCGATAGATGAGAGCTGCATTCACGAAGAACTCCAGTCCCTGGTACGACTCATGGGCCCGATAGATGAGTGGCCCAAGGCTTCCCCGAGGAGCTCGGGTTGCGAAAACTGTAGCCCAGGCCCACCGGGCCTCGCTACTTTAGCCGGAGATGCTTTGTGTCAGAACCTCACGTTTAATTTCAATCGGAAAACAAAAGAGGATACCTGTGATACTTTTGTTCGAGCTTAATAACCAAGGTACAGAGTGTATGTACCTTTTGCATGAGACCAATAATAATGAATATTACAATCCATTTCTCCTTTGATTTAATAAGAATTGTCTTGATGGTGTTTCGGAAGTAGTCGTCTTTGGACTTTATATATCTTACTAGGTCCATCATCATCAACCTTTTCTTTCTTTCTTTCTTTCTTTATTTATTTATTTATTTATTTTGAACTGCATGGTTCTGTCCCTCTCCCGCCACAAATCCCCTAAACGCTTTCATCTTCAACCTCCAACTCCCCTCAAAATCCCCACTAAAACCTTCAACCTCTCATCAATGGCGTCCTCCCCTCTCCTACCTCCTCTTCCTCGCCCCTCTCTCTCCTCCCCCAACCCCATTGTCTCCCTCCTCTCTCGCTGCTCCTCGACCTGCCACCTCGAACAACTCCACTCCCTCCTTGTCCGCTCTGGTCTCTCCCATTCCCCAACCCAACAAGCCCATCTCGTCTCCTTCTGCTGTAATCACTCCATCCCTTTATTCCTCAACTACGCCCACCAACTGCTCGACGAAATCCACCAACCAAACCCTCTTCTCTACAACACCCTCATCAAAGCCTACTCTGACCGAAAATCTCCCGAAACCGCTGTCTCTGTGTATATCCAAATGATCTCTGGCGGTTCCCTGCCCAATTCCCACACCTTCCCTTGCCTCCTCAAATCGTTCGATCATGCTGCCTCGATCAAATTCGGCGATGAGATTCATGCGCACACGATTAAGTTTGGATTTGGCGATGATCCGTATGTTCAGAATGTGTTGATCTGTATGTATTCATCAAGTGGAGAGATCGGTATTGCGAGGGAAGTATTTGAGAGGAGCAATAAGTGCAATGTGGTAATGTGGAATGCGATGATGACGGGGTATAATAAGAGCAGGAAATTTAGAGAGACGTGCAAGCTTTTCTGTGATTTGGAGAGGGATAAAGTGAGCCCGAGTTTGGTCACATTCATTTTGGTGCTATCGGCATGTGCGAAGTTGGGAGATTTGGAGTATGGGATGTGGGTTCATAGCATTATCGGTGATTGCAGCATGGTTCCCAACCTAAAGGTGCACAATGCGCTGATCGAGATGTATGCAGGCTGCGGCGATATGGCCGTTGCTTGGAGAATTTTTGAGGAGATGACAGAGAAAGATGTGGTTAGTTGGACCTCGATGGTCGTTGGATTTGTGAATTCAGGACAGCTTGATAGAGCACGCGTCCTCTTCGATCAGATGCCTGATAGGGATATTGTGTCATGGACTGCTTTGATTGATGGATATGTTCGTTGTAGCCGTTATAAAGAGGCCCTAGCGTTGTTTCATGCATTGCAGAATACAAATATATGCCCAGATGAGTTCACTATCGTCAGCATGCTAACAGCATGCGCTCAGTTGGGAGCGCTCGAGCTTGGAGAGTGGGTACGGGTATATATTGAACGTAAGAAGATCAAGATGGATGCGTTCATGGGCAATGCTTTGATCGATATGTACTCCAAGTGTGGGTGTGTGGATTCCGCATTGGAGATCTTCAGGAAGGTGCCAAAGAGGGATAAGTTCACTTGGACTGCGATGATTGTTGGCCTCGCCATCAATGGGGATGGCAAGCGTGCTCTCAGTCTGTTCTCTGAGATGTTGAGATCTTCGGTGAGACCTGACGAGATAACCTTCATCGGCGTCTTATCAGCTTGCTCTCACTCGGGTTTAGTCGATGAGGGGAGAGATTTCTTTTCGAGAATGATAACAACATATGGGATCAAGCCCAACGTGACACATTATGGTTGCCTTGTGGATCTCTTAGGGCGAGCAGGTCATCTTCAAGAAGCGTTAGAGACTATAAACAACATGCCGATGAAGCCTAATTTGACGATATGGGGATCTTTTCTCGGTGCCTGTAGAGTTTATAGAAACTTTGAGATGGCAGAATTGGCTTGTTATCGCCTTCTAGCGTTGGATTCTGACAATGGAACGAGCTACGTTCTTCTATCCAACATATATGCAAAATCTAACAAGTGGGACAAAGTGCATAAAATCAGGGAGATGATGATGGAGAAGGGAATCAAGAAGGAGCCAGGATGCAGTCTAATAGAGATGAAAGGTGAGGTTCATGAGTTCATCGCAGGTGATAGATCACATCCTCAATCTTGTGATATATACTCAAAACTGGAGGAGATTGGTGAAAAACTGAAGAGTGCTGGTTATGTTCCTGATACTTCAGAGGTTTTACTTGATATGAGAGAGGATGAGAAGTAAAGCGCGATATTTCAGCATAGTGAGAAGCTGACAATCGCCTTTGGATTGCTGAGCTCTCTGCCAGGTGCGACGATTAGGGTTGTGAAGAACCTGAGGATATGTGCAGATTGTCATGCTGCGATAAAAATGGTGTCGAGGTTGGATCAGAGAGAGATCATCGTGAGAGATCAGACACAGTTTCATCACTTCAGGGATGGACATTGTTCTTGTAAGAATTTTTGGTGATTTATTTGGTTTTAAGTAAGAAAAATGCCTTAGGAACCTCAAAATAGGGGACCCTGAGTAAGACAGGTGAGGTGTCGTCTCCTTGTTCCGTAATGCACTGTTCATAAACAGTGCATCACAGGACAAGGAGGCGACACCTCACCTGTCCCATGTATTTGGTTTTAAGTAAGAAAAATGCCTTAGGAACCTCAAAATAGGGGACCCTGAGTAAGACAGGTGAGGTGTCGTCTCCTTGTTCCGTAATGCACTGTTCATAAACAGTGCATCACAGGACAAGGAGGCGACACCTCACCTGTCCCATGTAGGGTCCCCTATTGTGGGGTCCCTGTAGCAGCACTCTTTAAGTAACTGTGAATTTTGTGAATCTTGTGGAAATAAGCATTAAACAAAATCAGAGGTATGTGAAGCAATATAACTCTGAAATTCTTTGATGTACACAGATGAATCCTGATTTTTCAGTTACTTTCAAATTAAGGATTTATGCCCTTCTTGTTAGATTATACTTTGACTAGTCATATAGCATCTCTTCGAGCTTGCATGAGGACAAGTAGTTTTTGCCTATCAGGGATGCATTCTTTCACTATATCAGAACTAGTGAACTCTTGAGACTAATTCCATAAGCTGGAATGTTTCTCTTCACTTATTATACAAATTCTAGCCATTTCTTGGAGAACACTAACCCTAATGATTAAGAATTTGCCGCAATGTTTGTGATACCTGTTTGTTGGAAATTTGCAGTAAAAAGACAATGAAAGAAAAATTGACTTGTATTCTCTCAAAATCAATTACAATTTGGATTCCGATTACAAAAGAGAGGAGAATGAATTTGATTCCCCCCTTTGTTTAAAACTGGGTTCTTCTTGGTAGCGATGAAGTGCCTCCTTCGATTGATTGTGTCGAACTTGCTCTCCGTTGACGATCCGACCGTCTTGATTCACTGGAACGTAGTCTTCTCCTCACGATTTGACGCTATAGAGAACTTGCAAAGCAGGTTTAAAACTCTCGATGAGTTGATAACTCTGATCGAGTTTGAAACGCTTGAAAAAGAGTTGATTTGAACCGAGAATCGGTTCTCAAGCCAAGGCCGAAGGCTTCAAGGAATCCTCCAAAGGATGAATGCCGGTCTCTCCCTTTGTTGCCAAGTCCCCGATCCGAAAATGCCAGCCCTTGACCGAATTTTCCTTTGTTGATGAGAGAAAATCCCCTCCAAAGCTAGCCGAAGATCTCTTCTTTGCTCCCCCCAAAAAGAAGGATCCGAACTCAGTTGAGTTTCCCACTATTTATAGGGGATTAAGGGTGGTAACTACCCTCTTAATCCGCTCCTCAATGGGCTGAGTGGGGTGTAACCGCCCCCTCTTAAACAGCTCCCTAAATCGTGGGGGAAACGGTTTTGCAACCGTTCTGTTAGTGCTTTGAACGAGTCAAAACGCCAATCTGGGCGTTCTGGACCTTAACTCTGCGTCTTAGAGATGAGACGCAGAGTTGGGCGCTCGTTGGGAGTCGAAATGCACAGGCCGCATGCGTTTTAGAGATGAACTCTGCATTTTAGGCTGAAAACGCAGAGTTGGGCCTGTTTTAGGCTAAAAAAGCACAGGTCGTGTTGTTTTAGAGATGAACTCTGCGTTTTAGGCTGAAAACGCAGAGTTGAGCCTGTTTCAGGCTGAAAACGCACAGGTCGTGCTGTTTTAGAGGTGAACTCTGCGTTTTAAGCTGAAAACGCAGAGTTGAGCCTGTTTTAGGCTGAAAACGTACAGTTGGGCCGTTTTAGAGATGAACTCTGCGTTTTAGGCTAAAAACACAGAGTTGGACCGTAACTCTGCGTTTTGATGTTATATCACAAGGATAACCTCTGCGTTTTGAGGTTATAACGCTGGCTCGACCTGTGCGTTTTGACTCTGTAATGCAGAGGCGAACCTTAGGCGGGCTTGGCGAGCTTCAAGCTAAGTCTAATGTTCTGACGAAGTCCGGTCTTGCAGACGGACTTCAGAACATAATTTGCTACGAAGAACAGGTCATAACTTTCAAACCGTAAGTCGGAATTGGACGAATTATATATGAAAATCGGCTATCTCGACCGTCAATTTCCTTACGGTTTGAGAGATATCTGCATTCTAATATGAAGAGACCGTCAATTTGTAGTCTCTTTTGCTAGAGCTTTGCACAGATCGTCACCTTGTAATCTTCGTCTTGGCTCCTTAAAAATGTGAGAGTCATCAGATTGTAACTCCCGATGTTGATTGTGAAGGCTGTTGAATTGGGGCTTTCATTAGTTGTTGTGAAGGTCGTCAGATTGTAACCTTCTACGTGAAAGTCCTCAAATTGTAGCCTTCTGGAAGTCGTCAGATTGTAACTTCCATCATCGGTGTTTGATGGGGGATCAACTATCTATTATGATTTTTAGACAGCCTACAGAACCCCCTCTAAAGTTTTTAAAAGTTCGCGGTTGACTGGGACGAATTTTCGGAATACTTTGGATCTCAACTCTGATCTTGACGCTTTGACTTAAGATATGAAAGCGGCTACCGTGCATTTTTTACTAAGTCTGTGAGACTTATCTTTAGCTCATCCATTTCAAGTCTCGGCTCACATCCATTAAGCTAATGGATCTACGAACATGCATAGAATTTTTGGCAAAACCCTCAGCCATCAACGGATTTGATAAGCCTTTACCGACTACCGTTTGAGTCGGGCTAGCATGTGGATTGTCTAAGTCCGTTCCACATGTAACGTTATGCTAAGAGAATGAATCCTCTTAGACTTGATGCTATGATTTTGAATACATAGACTTTGTGAATCCTCTTAGACTTGATGCTATGATTTTGAATACATAGACTTTGTCATTTTCACGGGAAAAGACTAACTGGCAACGCGTAATAGGCGTAGGCTTATCTCTAATTAGGGATCGAGATAAAGCCCCCCATGCGTGTGAGGCATGGATTTTGATGTCCTTTTCACAATAAAAGACTAACCGGCAACGTGTGTTAGACATTGACTTATCCCTACTTAGGATTCAGGATAAAATTCCCCATGCGTGTAAGGCATGGATTTTGGCGTTATTAATAACGACCTGCTACGATATTGAATACGTAGGCTTTGCTATTATTACGGGAATATGCTACCCGGCAGCATGTGTTAGATGCAGACTTATCTCTAATTAGGGATCGAGATAAAGTCCCCCAGGTATGAATCCTGGTGTCTTTTTCACGGTGAAAGATTAACCGGTAACGCGTGTTAGGCATAGACTTATCTCTAATTAGGGATCGAGATAAAGTCCCCCATGCGTGAAGGCATGGATTTTTGGTGTCGTTTCTTCCTGTGTGGCTTGAAACACCGAAAGAAAGTTGGAAGTGTCAGAGGTATAATATTAACTTGGCATGAATTTTCACCTAAAGTGAAATTCAAAATTTTTCTTTATTATCACTAGGATAATTCTAGAAAATCTTTAATCCGCTGGGGATTTTATAATGAAAACTTGCTATTCTTGTTAAAAAAATGATTAACAAGTTCGTTAGGGGGGTCGACTGTTAGAGGTGTTATGTTAACCTAACAGTATTTTGTGGACCTATCGCTCTATTGAAGAGAGTCGATAAGTTGATTTGGTCGTCAGAGGTGTGGTGTTAACTTGACGAGTTTGTGGACCTATCGCTCCATTGAAGAGAGTCAATAAGTGGATTTTGTCAGAGGTGTGATATTAACGTGACAAGAAGAATTTGCGATCGAGCAATTTTGAGGACTTATCGCTCTATTGACGAGAGTCGATAAGTTGATTTTGTCAGAGGTGTAGTGTTAACGTGACAGGATTTGTGTTGCAATTGGAGCAACTTTGGGGACTTATCATCCTATTGACGAGGATTGATAAGTGGGTTTTGTCAGAGGTGTATTGTTAACGTGACAAGAATTTGGAGTGATGCAAACTGAATGCATACTCTGTGGGGATGATGATCGTCAGAAGTGTAATGTTAACTCGACGATGTGAAAGATTCGTTACTCTTAATCCAGTGGATTCCAAGTAATCAACCCCCAGTCTTGATTAAGACTTAGCAGGGGAATAAAAAGAGGTAGACAAGGCACATCACCTAGTGTGCACTATCCATGAAGTCGGAATTGAGTCACATCACCAGGTAGGCCATTATCTGATGAGTTTGACTATCAGAGGTAACTGTTAACGTGATAGTTGTTGGACCCGCCATCCTACTGAAGAGGATTGACTTCAGTGGCCGTAGTATCTTTCCCTTCTGACTGGGAAGAGTGATCCTGGTCCAGTTGCTCAGGAGAAGATTGGGCTTGGTCTGATTGCTCGGGCGGATCCTGCCTACTTTGTTCTTCAGCTTTGATCCTGGCAATGATTTTTTGAGCCTGCTCGCCTTGAGAGATTAGTTGTCTCCAAGAACGGCATTCTACAACTTCTATTCGGGCTAGGAGGTCGGTTTGCAAGTTGTGTCGACAGGTCTCTACTAAGGTAGACTGTGTCATACCTGACGAACACCGGAGAGCCATGGTTCGGAACCTTTTGACGAATGCTTTGACGGACTCCCTCTTCTTCTGCTTAGTAGCAAGAAGGGTATGGATGGAGACTTCTGTATCCTCTTCAAAGAATCTTGACAGGAAGAGTCTCTCTAGATCCGCCCACTTTTGGATACAGCCCGCAGGCAGTTTCCTGAACCATTCAAAGGCAACTCCCTTGAGGGTGCCAATGAACAATCGAACCAGTATGGCATCGTTTGATATTACATTTCCAGTCTGTGACTTGAAATGATAAATATGTTGGTTCGGTGATCCCGTGCTGTCAAAAGTTTGTAGCGTCGGGACCTCGAACTTTGGAGGACAAGGGGCTGCATCACATTCGGCAGGATAGGGCCTGATAACTTCCTCATCTTGGAGCTCGCTTCTGTTAGCAATGGCTTTGAGGCGGGCTTCCAATTCTTCCATTTTGGCAGAATGAAGATTCTGCTCGTTCTCAGTCTCTCTTCCTTCATCAGAGGAAGATTCCAGGCTGTAGGCTTCTTGGTCAGAAGCCGCATCATCAACCACTTTTCCCTTCCCTTTGCTTGTGTGAGGTCGGGATGAAGACGCTTTTCCTCTCCGGGAAGATTCTTGCCTAAGCGGCGAATCTGTCTGGCTAAACTCCGATAG